ACAGTTATCTGGGCCCTTTACAGAAAAAGTTGGCTAACTCAAGTCAATTTGTTTTGAGATTGTTTGGCTGTAATGTCATGTCTTACATATATCCCACATCTGAAACTCTTTAAAGGGAGTTAAAATTGATTGGATTAAAAAATTGTTTTCAGTGGTTAATACAAAGCTGCCAGGTTTTGATTTTTGTTACAATGCTAACATGTTACCCTATCCCAGATACTAGCTGATGGAATATTAGCAGAAAGCAAGGAGATACTAATGGTGTGCTTGGATTTAATTTTTTGCCCCCAGTAATTTAATGTTTTCTGAGACTGGAAAGAAAGGCGTGGTGATCTAAGCCACGAAATCAGCCAGTGTAAACTTCATGTATTGTAAGTCTGATCCCATTGTGCATGATGTCCTCATGAGGCAAGGCTCACTCAGGCAGCTAATAACGAATGTTTATAATTTTGCAGTGGTACGCTTCTATTTATGGAAATACTTGCACATAGAATTGAAAAATAACTTTACCCATTTTTCTGTTTGCTCCCATATATCTGATGCACGTATTCTCAGATTGGTTTCTGTCATTATCTCATGAACTAGATTTTTCTCTGTATCAATTTATTTTCAATCTTCCACAGAGTTGAGAAATTATCTGTTGATAAACATCAGTTTGGTAATTATCAGCTTAATTGTTTTAACTATTTAACTAATAAGCTGTGATTGCCTTGGGCATCATCACTCTTTGCACTTCAATTAGGTCCTTTGTTTTCTGAATCCTCATTTCCTGGGTCCTGGTGCAGTACATTTTCCAGTAGCTTTTGAGACCATATCTAAAAAGGTCTCTTCTGCCCTCTCTAACTTGGTTAGCTTGACTAGCTACAGAATTCTAGGTTGCAAGTCAATCAAACACTAATGGTGTAAGAGTGAAGACTTCAATGCTATTCTGGTTCTTGATCTTTGGTTTGAAGTCTTTTTGACCTTGAAATCCCTTAGGATTTTCTGTTATGAGTGTTTCAGAATTTTGTGACTCAGTCTGTATCTGTTTTGGATAATCAGTGGATCCTGTCATTCTGTGAACTTGATGTTTGATTCTGGGGAATGTAAATGATTTTTTTCCCCCTCACCCCCCTCCTGACCATTCAGTGTGTATTAATAATTAGGTTCCTGTTCTCTATTTGAGTGTGAACCCTGGACATGTTTTTCACCCTAGTCTATTCTGCTTTGTGGGGCATTTATACAAATTCATCGTTCAACCTTTCTTTTTTAAAATTTTTTAAGTGCCAATCACCTGTAATTTCTAGTAGTCGCCTACTCCCAAACTGTAATAGCAACCTGTCCTTCATGGATATATTATTTTTTTGTCATCTCTATGGTTATTAAACTATATACATATATAACTTTTTAAAGGTTGTTTCCTCCAAATCCTTTTCTCTCCTGTTGCTTTAGTGTCTAACTTTCATATTAGACATTTTCTTCAAACGTTTGAGTAGTTCATGGAGCATTTTAAAGTTGATTGGAAGTTTCAGATACGTGTGGGGCTCTGAGGGGCTTGTCAACTGTGAGGTTCGTTGTTGGATGATCTGGCTGTCTCATTCTCTTGAACACCTCGATACAGGATAGCATCTTACCCAACCCCCTTCCCTGCCTTGGGCTAGTCAGGTTCCCCAGAGAAGTCTCTTCTGCCTGAAAAGTGAAAAACCTGGCTGTCATTGTTAAGGGATCCCACTGGGGGAAGAATGTTGAGAAAACATCTACTTTAATTCCTTTATCTTCACTGTATTCCTATTCAGTCCAAAGACCACTCTGTCTTACCTCTTCAAAGACTTAATCTCCAGTCTTCTGCATGGGTTGGTTAGTTGTCCGGCAGGACAGAGAGGACCTGGGAGTTTAGCTGTCAGACACTTGGAACCAAACCCTTTTTTAGTCCCATATAGCTCTATTTTCAGAGGTACTTGTACTGCCATTTACTAAGCCGTGCGGGAGCAGTAATCTCAGATGGAAGATTAACTTTTCTAAAGTCTGCTTAGTTGGTATCATTTGATCATTATGTTTTGTAGCTTCTAAAATGTTGCTGTTGTCTCCTCTCCTGTCCTTTGTCCTGAAGGTTTTATGTTGTCTTCCTTCCCCTAAAAAAAAAAAAAAATTTTTTTTTACTGTGGTTTCTAGTATGATGTTATAAAGGGCTGGAATTACCTTTTTTCCCCCTTAACCAATCTTATTTTTGTGTGTAGGTGGTGGTGTGGGAAAATTGGGGGATGGAAAGGGGCAGGGAAATTAAAATACTCAGAAGTAGCTCGGGACCCTTATGGATTTGGCCAATAAAGTCAGCAAATATGCTAGTTTATTATAGAAATAATCTCTTAAGTTTGATCTCAGTATGCTATCAGTTTTGTAAACTCTTGTTAGAATGACAGAACTGCTGATCTTACCTTTTCTCAAGTGACAAGAGCATTCTAGGTTTACTGTCCTAAATTCAAACTTTAATACCTTTAGGTTTGCTAGAGGTGTCTGCTGCCAGGTGAGTTAACCGGTCTTTCTGAGGTTCTGGGTTTCCTCTATTCCTTTCCTAACCTTCAGTGTGTATTAATAATTGGGTTGTAAGTCTTGGTAGCATATTACATTTACTGGGATGACATTGCTTTATTGTACTTACTTTTGCACAAGTAAGAGGAGTGTTATGTGTGAAACACCTGTCCAGGTGCCAGTTAGGTTTAGGTTGAGATCATTTTGAAAGCTACTCTCAACAATAATTTTAGCATCCCATTATTAGTTTTTAAGGAGCTCTGGTGGCTTAGTGCCTAAGGCGTTTGATTGCTAACCAGAAGGTTGGCGGTCCAAACCCATGAGCTGCTCTATGGAAGGAAAATGGAGCAATCTACTTCTATAAAGATTTATCACCTTGGAAAGCCAATGGGGGGGGGGGTTGTTATGAGATTGACTCAATGGCAGTGAGTTTGTTTTTTGGTTTTACTATTAGTCCTTTCTGTTCTACAGAATCTTGCTTAGTTTGTGTACTTTTATTGTTTTACTGCTTGGAGAAGTTTTGTTTGAAGTAATTATGATACCCTTGTACTATAAACAATTTACTAACGTGATACTGCCTTGAAAACCCACAAGGGGTAGCTATGAGTGGGATCCGACTAGACGGCAGTGCGTTTGGGTTTTTTTTGTTTGTACTATAAAAGTACTTAAGAGTTAATATCAACTAAAAACAGCATGTTTAAGACCTGGAGATACTTGTAAAACCAGGACTGAACTTGCTGTCCAACAGTATTTGTCTTGATCCTGCAATATCTAACGAAATTTTTTGGATGGGGGTCAATTTAACATGAAATTTCAAAATCTAGATCTTTGCATAGAAAACTGACACATCTTAATAAAGTAAAATTTTTGGAGAGCTTTTCTTAGTGCAATTTATCAGTGCACTTAAACATTTAAGAAGTACCCCAAACTTCATAGAAATAATTTTTGCCACCTACTTTTGACAAGGTTGAGAAGGGTGCCCATTTTATCCTCTCTTCACTGCTAGCATGATTTAGAAGTCTAGCCTCAAAATTTTCATGGGTAATGGGACAGTCTAGCTAGATGAATATCCAGCTGTGCTAATTGACTTTGCTTGGCCTGTTACTTGCTATCAGTGGCCAATAATCTGGTAAATCTGGGAAGGGTTAATTATGATGGATGGCATTTCAAAGAAGCCTGCAGACTGTCTATATCTGAGTCACTCTAATCAGAATTGTTGCCTGGGATTCTGTATTTAATATACCCCAAGTGATCTTAGCTACACTAGTTTTAAGGACTATTACTGTAAGATAGTGAAAAGTGCTGTTTCTTAAGTGTTTCTGTTACTTGTATTTCATAAGGGTTCACGTTTCATAAAGCTTACAGCAGTTATGCATTTTACTGATGGACCCTAAGTTGAGTGTGGAAGATGACAGCAGTAGTGGTGTACCAGGTGGAGGTTGGAGAGCTGTGGAAGTGGCTGCTGGCTGGGAACGAGATTACTTTTTTTTTGTAAATTTTCTGCAAAAATGCACTGCCTTACTACATCCAGTCCTGGCCTGCCTTTGGTTTGTCACTGATCTCAAGTCATCCATTGCATCATGAATTGGTAATCATCAGGATTGAAATTCACTTTTGCTTTTGTTTTCTTGAGGACTTGGCCTAATTACATATTGCCCTATATTGCTGTTAGCAAATTTAGATTCTCAAGAAGGTGGTAATTCCAGCAGCCTCCCATAGTAAATGGCTGTACTAGCCTCAAGTA